CTTAATTGTTTTATTTTATATTTTCACTAGAGACACAATTTAATTCAATACAAAATATTTATTTTCACTGATTTGTCATAAATTACAAACAAATCATAGTGAAAAAATATTTTCATTGAATTTCAATTTCTCCCATTTACCACTTTTCTGTGGAAATCAAGCATTCTACAGAACCATGGAATTTGCCACATTAGTCTCTGAGCTGTGCACTGCATCACCATCCCTCCCAGCACTGAGGTTGTGCAGTGGACCCCTAGTGCCTAAGCTATGCACCCTAGTCCCTAAGCTTTGCAATCCACCAAACGCACACCCCACCACCCCACCCTGTTCCTAAGCTGTGCAGAGACCCTCAAATAAAATTAGTCACACTGATTGATACAAACCTTCAAAACAATTCTCAACTATAATAGTTTTAAGGGTATTCAATGTGTTTACACAACATTAAATTTTACACTGTATTTAACAGCCATATTTGTTTGTACTGTGGCAGCACTCTGTTTGGATATCATGAAATGATGGTGAATGACCAGTGGATGGGTGTGGTACATCTCTTTTATTTGTTACAGTGAATATTTGAATAAATATGATTTTAGGAAGTAAATTTCATTCACACTTACACGGTAAACACTTTCAATTCGGTGTGTGTAAAAGCGGCAAAGACTAACACCACATTGCGTGGGCATTGTTAATATTATTATTATGGAATAATAATCGTCAGTGGAACTATGCAAACATGATGTGAAATTAATTGAAAATATTGGCGATTTAATAATATTTTGGCAGTGTGATGGGCGGAGAGTGTTCCACGGTCACAGACACCAAATAACCGTGCGGGACACCAAGGATTAGATGTAAAAGAAAAGTTATGTACAGCGTGACTACGGAGTGTCTCCATTAAAACAAAGTGTCACGGGGGTGATGGTCACAGCCCCCTACTAAAAACATATGTGAATGGACTTTTACTAATTATCACATCAAAGAGAAAACTCAACAAGGTGAGAAGCGTTCGACTGGACGCGTGACTCGATCAATATACCACGATCTACTAATTACATGGATTTAAAAAATGTAAGCTTTGTTAACTTCTTCCCTGAATTTCGCGAAGACAACTATTTTTTTTTTTTTTTTTCGATACGAAATGTTAAACTGTGATGTGTGAAGCATAGCCATCAACTGTAAACTAGTATAACAGACATGTAAACTCAAAATCGCAGTTTGTGTCTGTGAACATTTAATCGCGAATAACCACTGATTATGTTATATATTGGAGTAGAGTGAAACCATGGAACTATAGTTCCATGAGTGAAACCATATGGTGGTAATATATGCAATTCAATACATCTGAACCCTGCAACGTACAATGCCATATCCGCTGTGAAATTATGGGTTACAATAAAGCATATAATATTACATTTCACTTACCCGAATCGGCTAATACAGTAGAAAAATATGCAGGAAATACGCAGAAAAATAAATAGAATCGGCTCGACCAGCGAGTTGCACAGTGGCTATCATAATTTATTTTATGTCGTTGGCGACAACTGATACTGCAAGTCTTTCGATGTATAGTCTTTTTCGCCTGTACCGCCATCGCCTAAAAAGTGGCTACAATCTACCGTATAATGAACGTTATCTGGATTCCATGAATGGTTCGCGGGTTGCCTACATGTTCAGTTTTCATAATACGTCCCCGCCGAATACAACGCGATCCGGTTGATTGAACCCGTTGTTGTTGGCCTTTTCATCGTGTTGGTGTCTGTACACAGACACACGTGGATATCGATGGAATACTCGTTGTCTCAGTTCATACGCCCATTTAGGCCGATACACGCGGGTTTCTGGTAGTACGGTAAATACGGAAAGGTGCTGAATTAATTTCCCCGCCTTGTAAATCCCATCATCGCATCAACAGCAAGTGCAAATCCGCGAAAATAACGCACACATGCAACAACGATCACCAAACACAGCTGACCTCAACGGCGACGATGACGAACTCATATGCAACTAGTCTCAGCTGTTACTGTCCTCATTTGCATAATAAATGACGCGTAATTTCATACCCGCGGAACACAAAGCATAAACCACTGAAACGGGAACAATTAAAGTAAATATGTTGCCCGCATTTGTGTACAATAATGCAAATTACAGTAAAAAACACAAGCAGTGGCATATTTAATTACAGAATAATTGTACCGAGAATTACAATTTGAGCTGCGAATTACGAAGTAGTACGAAGATGAGAACTGAATTTTTAGAAATTGTGTAGTTAAAAATTTATAGATGGCAAGTTTTTGTTTTTGTTTACTGTTATAAAGTTGTCACATTTAACTTTTTATTTGTGTTGTACAGTGATAACAAGTTCGTATTATGTCGTTACAGTACTGTGTGTAACAACTTAGAAAATATAAAAAAAAACACTGTGACAAAAATATTGTGACGCAACGAAATGTTCAAATATTTTATTGAAGGTTTTTCACAGATGTCAAAGGACATTGGTCTTCGTGTAGCGATCGAATCTCGCGTAAATAGTCAATATATATGTGTTTTACGCCATTGTATACCAGTAACCGGCCGTATAACTACTGACCCCCAGTCCAGGAAAAACGGGTGGGTGGTAAGGGATGGCGTCTCACTCAAATACAATTTTTGTCGTAAAGCTACGATGGCTATAACTATGTTACCCATTTTTGATGAAACCCTTATCGAACACGGCACATGGCGACAACCACCGCCTTTTAATTGCCCATGAACTGATAAAATCTACTAAATACGAGGGTCAGTAATGGTGATCCCAGCTTAAAAGCACGTTATTGCATTTATGGCGCGTTGTTTCCGCTGTGAAATTGGTAGTTGTTACAAAATGTTCACGAAAATTTCTCGTTAAACTTGTAGATGTGCTAATAATGCAATAAATATGTACCATGCTGTGTTTGTGTGTAGTTGCTATATCAACTACTACCCATAGCAACGCGGTCGGCGTTAGGTGTTGTTCGTGATACACCTCGCTGATGCTGCTAGATTAAGCACAGGCACTAAAAACTAAGTTCGTGACAAAGTTTGCAATCAATTTGTAAAAAAAAAAAATTTTTTCTAGAGATGACCGTGTAGACAGAAAACTACAGAAGTGGCTTCACCTCCGACGACCTGAAATATTTATCACAGTAAACACACGCTGAAGTATAAAACATTAATATTCATGAAATGTTAACTCTTTCACAAGACACCAAAATGCCCGGCTGTTTCCATTTGACGCTGAATATATTGACCCGACATAACATTGGACAACCATGTGCCCAGAAACACGCACACTACCTTAAATGTTCCTTTTTTTCGTGCAATGTCACATTTTATCGATAAAGAACGATTATACGTATCTATTTCTTTCTACCCTTAATATCATGAGTCCAACTTGTACACACCTGTCACCCAAATATTCAACACATATTATTTGTTTCGAGTAAAAAAGGCACTAGCGTTTAATAAATCGGATGTTGTTGTTGTTGTTTTTTTTTGGGGGGGGGGGTATTTCTTATTAATGGTTTAATGTTGTGATTTCTGTTAGTGGTATCTTTCACGATATATGTTATGTAAACATTTTAATTCCTTTTTTTTTTAATTTTAAGCGTTTTTAATAAAATTGTGAATTGTTATTAAAATACTGTTATTGAAACCCGTGGAGCACTTAATATACAGAGATACATATACAGAGATATGACTAACAAGTGATGGGGTTTCTAATGTGATCGAAATAGCTCACAGGACCACGCAAATTCCAAGTCGTCGGAGTAAAGGTAAAAATACAAACTAAGCACACCACTTTGCATGACCAAAAAGTACCCCTTTTTGTATTTTCGAGAAGTCAATTCTATTTTGTTCTGATTGTGTATTTAAACGTAGCTGTGATCTGTTGTTTGCTTTCAGTCTACTCATGATGCTTCACCGTGTCTACAAAATATGACACTTAGTTATTGCGCCCTCGCCGATGAATTCCGACGCAGGCTATTTAGTATCATGCCCAGAACAGAATAACTAAGACCTTTATTACACCCAGTGTTCTTTGTCCGCACACTCGTTAACTACAAAGTGAAACCCTGTACTAATTTTCCGTCATAAAATTGGAATTGGAATTTCCCGCGAAATTGTGCAAGTACAATGAACGGATGAAATTGTACTTTTTGTTACAACCTTCCCAATCATCTTTAATAAAATAACAAAAAAACGTATACTAAAAATACTAAATAGTTTGTTTGTCGCAAAATATTGAACAATTTTTGGGAAATTTGCTACAGATCACGGTACGACCAGTCTGTAAACCAGAGTGAATATGATTCGTACTGAATCCCGAACCACACAAAGACTTCCAGTGGCTGAAGTTGAACACATGGATCAACATTTGTACATGTTCTCAACAAGAGTTGCAGCTTGTTGGTCCATGTATGGAAGGTACCGTTAGTACCTCCCATGGTCCATGTAGTTCGAATAACAAAACAAATACATGTATTGGGATATTTAATCCAACAATCGTATTTACTCTTGTATAGTACTATAATAACAAAACACAAAAATATGTTCTATGTGCGTGTAGACCTATTCTTTATATCTTACAATTATGACAACATAACATTGTTTAAATGCATTCTTTATTCAAAACTAAATAGACTATCTTCATAAAGTCTTAAATGGGAAACTAAATGTCGAATACATTGCCGCTGGTGGCGTACTCTCATGATCCCGGACACGATGGTCTATACTGAACATGAAATGCAGTCTGTAGGACAATCTGAAACAAAAACACAGCAAAATAAACTGTATAAATATCGATATAGGAGTATATTCACTTAATAATTGAAAAAAAACACAGTTCTTTTTGTAGAATGATTGAAATACGTTCTTGTATATGCAAATGAGTTGGTACTTATAAGGATGCAAGCATATGCAAGATTTGGCTCAAAAGTCACAGCCATTTTAAACTTTGGATTTATAACTTAATAGATAAATACCTAACGCTGGGAATTCGCATATGTAACCACGTGGTTCATAACAGTCAGCGTCCTGCCATTGATAGTTATCCCCTCTGTGAAATGTGTGAAAAAAAATATTAAAAAAACAACATTTCTGGACTATAATATATATTAATTAGTCAAAATGTGTAATAAATATTGGTTCACATAGTCAGTCTGCTCTATCTGTGTCGAGTTGACACCGAGACTTAGCACAGTGTGTAGATTGTCATTGCAAGAAGTCTAAGACTCGACTCGTTTCCTTCCCTGGTTTCTTTTAGTAATACCATAGGTCTATGGTAATACTCATCCACAGATGTTGCCCAAATGACTCCGAGACAAGGAACGCGTATAGTTTGAGAAATAAACAAATACCTGATCATCACGCAGTCAGTGTCGTTTCCGTCGGTAGCGGGCGCCCAATCAGCCCAATTAGAATAACAGATCTTCGTACCATCATCCCAAATAAACTCGCTCTCAATATCTACGTCACTCAACCCAACCCATAAACCAGATTCCAGTGTATTACTTTGAAGTTGATTCTCGATCATTGCTTGTAGCTCTTCATTTGTGACAATCGCCAGTCTTCCCAAATTATCTTCACAAGACGCTTTTGCATCGAACCAGGATTTTTTGTTAGAAAAGAACTTGAAATCCATGCAGTCACAGAGAGGTCCTTTGAATAAATAATTGAAACAATATACATAAAACACGGGAATTGAGGAATTTTAAATATAGGTTTGAGTATTTTTTGCTACTCTTGTTCATTATTGCAAGTTGATATACAACTTTTTTTCAATTGTGCATGTGCGCATGAGTTTTGCACTTACAATTAGGCAAGGGAAAGTGGGAAAATAAGGCAGCGACGAGGATTTCAGAAGATTTACCCATTGAAAGAAATTGAAATACAGGTTTACGCAGCAAGATATGTCGATGGTGTATGTAATTTAAGTGACAAAAGTGGGTTCGAAATATAAAATGCATGTTCAGTCCATCTAATGGGAGAGAGGAGAGGACTTTCATAAAAAGGCGTTTTTTTCACCAAACTTACACAGATGTTTGGTTTACTAAACATGCATATATGACTCTAAGCGCATTAATGTTACAGTTTACGTATAACGGTGAAATGTATGATAGATGTTATACGATGTGATATACTCCCTGAAATATCTTCACACTAGAGATGCTAGAAAGTTCTCCCGTGTGGACTGAGTCCAATATTTGTTAACATATACTCATTTCTACGTTACCACAACTCTTACTGCTTTATATATTGATTCAAATATATTGATATGTCGTGATTCATGTAACCAAACTGATGTTAGTACACAAAATAATTATAAAATATATGAAAAAGATGAAAATAACAATAATTATATTTCAAATACTATACATGTACATCATGATGTTAGCAAGTTTTAACCCATACGAAAAATTATAAGATATCAACAAGCATGCCGAAAGTAGTAATTAATGTGCAAATTAGGCAATTAACATATACAGATTAACAGATAATTTTTCGTTCACTGTGAGATCTCCCGTTATGCATGAAATCAAAGTAAAATAAACAAAAGTAATAGCGTCCTAGTGACGTCAAAACATCAAGGGATTCGACAAACGCAAATTCAAAGCATTGTTTTTGCTTTAAAATGTGCTATACACATTTGATGATTGTCAGTTTTGTTGTAGTGACCTTTATCTGACGTAATTCTCTCTGAAAGGTCAACGTTTCAACATTGGGCTATACAAACAATTCAAATCATTCGATTTTTGCGGCAAACATTCGTTTCTCGCCTTTTATGCGATGCGCGAGATCACATGGTGAAAAGAAAAACACCTACTGAAAGTACTTTTTGAAATTCAACTACACAAACAGTATGCATGTATGAAGTTGTCAACATAACTTATGACCAAAATTTTGTTAATTATTAAGCAAATAGCATGATAAACATGCACGAATTTATACCAACATTTAACCAGGGTTCGGAGTTCATCGCAAAGTATCTGTGTGCCAAATTGCATTTTATTCCAGCCAGTGGGTTTTTGAGATATTTAAAGAATACGATTTGACACACTCAGACAGACAGACAGACAGACAGACGAGAGACCCCCCCCCATATTGACCATATCCCAACGTAACAATACACTCGGGCTGCACGTTTTCAAGAGGTAGTCAAAATATTTACCATAATTAGAGAATTATGTTTAATAGTGGTCATCCTAACCGCACTGAGGAGCAATACTACCAGGAAAAAAAAAAGTAATTTGGGGAAAATTACCCATTTTTGATAGCTATCGTTTCACTAATTTTATTAATATTTGGCATATAATCTTCTCATGAATGAATTCTCATCTACACCTTTACAAATCGGCTCAGCGGTTTTTGAGAAGAAGACAACCGGAAGACGAACGCCGATCCGTCTACCTATACATCACTACAAAGTGAAGCCGAACCACTCATTCCATGTCCTAATTGTAAGATTTCAGATTGTAGCCCCTAAGTCATGTGTGTGCTTATGTTATGATACCCCATAACCATTGTAAAATACTTTATTTCAGCTGAAAAGACTTTTTGGGTGTTTTGTATGGAATTTATTTTCACTGACTTTTGATGAGTTGAATGTGAAATATAGAAAACAAGGTATATTCGCTGGATTTTATTTTCATTGAATCATTCCTTACGCGAAAATAGCAAATTAGTTGCAAACGAAAATATAGTATTTTACAGTATATGTGCTTGTGTTAGAACATACCCGTTATAATTTCTTCTTGTTCACCGGAATCGCTGTCGCTTCGGCTACTACTTCCACTGCTGCTGCTGCTGCTACTACTGCCGCTGTCTTTATTTTTATCGCTGTCACTGCCGCTGTCTTTATTTTTATCGCTGTCACTGCCGCTGTCTTTATTTTTATTGCTGCCACTGCCTCTATTTTCTTTACTGGTACTGACTGAATTACTTCCCGGCTTATTTTTGCTGTCTTTATGTTTATGGCCTGAACTATTTCCACGTTTCCCCTGTGTGGATATAACAATATTGAGAGAATACAACAAGAACCAAACTACGAAATGAAACATCAGATATCGCATTGAATGAAAAAATGAATGATGGTTACGAACAAATATATAACAAATATAGCAAAAATCCGACAAATAACACATAGAATAATATATAAAGAAGAGTCCATTAACAAATTATAACTGAAGCATCATATTCAAGATTATCATCTGTAGAGGGTAATTTGATGACAATATCAAACACATTGTAATCTCGTAGCTTGCGTGAACGGGATTCTAAGTTCACATAAAAAGATATACTAGTAAACACTGCTACCTAATCGTAGCTTGCGTGAATGTTTTCTCATTTCATCTAAACGATTGACTTCAAGTTTGATTTTACAGACCAATCGCACATTAGTAATACTAAAAGTGATACACTGGCAGCTTGATATGAACACATTAATATAACTACAACCCATTTAATGATTTAAGTTGATTATTCTATTTGTCATTCATGTGAACAGATGTATAAATTACCATCACATTATGCGTCACATAAAGTCCAAAAAAAACGTCACAAAAGTGTACTTTCTTTCTATTTCATGATCCGTTGTCATTCTCACACAATGACCCAATTAGAATAGCACGTTAAACAGAGAGACTTGCAATCCCAAACACCCAGTCTCTAAATTGATTGACTTTCGGTTTATTTATAAGCTGCCCAATGTTCGAGGCAAAAAGAAATCAAATTTGCGACCGAGGCAGCAATTTCTCTTCACAAAATATATAAAGTGTTAATTTAAAACTTTGCCTCCCCCCAAACCCAATATTCTCAATTAGTTCTAATCATGTTACATTGCAATAACATACTCTATATAACAACACTATACTTACTGCGTTGCACATCGCAACAACCAGGAGCAGGGCCAGCATGGATATCAAAAGAATCTTCATTCTTATCAATGCCTTAAAAAATAACCAAGATGAGCAGTGTTTCAACCGTCTTGAAAATATAAATCGCTGAGTGTAACTAACCACGTGAGCAATTAACAGAAGCACGTTAGTGTCTTTTGTACATTATACAACCAGCGGCGATATCTCGCACGATGCCATACTTATTAGTGAGGTTTCACGCGCGACGCGAGTAGACTTACCTTACGAATGAGTGACTCTGGAAAAAGTCGACGTGCTTGGTGAAATGAATGTGTCAGTTTCAACACCAGGCTATTTATTGTCACTAAGCTGACGTGTACCTTCTTTTCTTTGGTGTTACATACATACAGATACTTGTTTTCTAAAAAGAAAATTGGATAATCCAAACACTGAATTCTTCAGTCCTATTCCGTAAGGTGTGGAACGGTACACCATACGGTGTGATTGTTGGTATATATCGATGAATACGGAATTCTGTGCGTTTTCTGATGCTTCTATTTAATTAATCACAATATCGTATGTTTTTGTGTTATTCTTGATTTTTTACTACGCTTTTTACTAACTAGGTGACGAACGTCATCGTGTATTCTATAGGTTGAAACAACTTCGTTATATGTATTAACAGTACTGCTTTGGGGTGATGACGTCTACAAAACTTGAGATCTGACTATCATTTTATCAGTTGTGATGTAATTAATAATTTATTATATACAATCATGAAGCTCCATTTCTATGGTAACAGCATTTGTCTACATTTTACAGTATCATACGTTGAGAAATTCGGTTGAATATTATTCTAATTTAAACAATTCCATAGTACACCAAAATTCTATAGTTAAAACCAACCCCAGTTTTGTTAAATAATTCGGGATAACAAAAGTACCTCTTCAGTGTTATATGGTTTTTTCACCCTATGTCACCAGCCATCAATCAAAAGGTAGTACGCTATCTCCACCATAGCTACCAATGGTAACACTCACTAATACTAATATGGCTGCCTTTCACTTAATCATAACCACCATATGCTGATGAGCTAAATGTAGTAGTCAACATCGTTATATCAACAGGTAGTATAATTTATTGAAAAATGAATACATTCTGTGTATTTTTTTGTAAAAGTAATCTTCTTTGCTAATCAAGTTGGCGTGGAGGGGATAAGCATTCATTATTTCTACGCGGTCTCTTCGCGACTAGGCTTCGTTTTAGTATTTGGCGTTTTAATTTGTGGTATTTCATTTGACTCAAGTCCTACAACTACCAACGTGGACCCAATAAGGCTACCTTTTCTTGTTTGAAATTCATTACCTCAATCCAAGTTCAGTGTCTGTATCAACATTCAGTTGGTATGTAGTCAATGCAAAGTGCATGGCGGAACTATCATAGATGGGGTGACACCCTATGTTGTAATATACGTATGATAATTATGGCATAAAAACAATATAGTATCCATACTTTGCGTGAATTGTTACAAATTAAAGCATTAACAATTTGGTCTTGGATGGCGATAATTTGCAATTCTTAAACAAACAGAGTATGATCTTCTTGAAAAAAAAAAGAATAGCTGTACTATTTTTTTTTATAACAATTAATGAAACGATTAATTGACCGAAATCTTACCCTAGTATTAAATAAATAGGGTTCACTCGTTTGGAATGTTGATGTCTTCACCGTGTTTGACCCTAAGACCCACTTTCCATCTCAAGTCTGGAAACGTTTTTTTTTTTTTTCATTCACGGACAATAAGCAACAAATGCATGATATAGTTAGTTTCGATACAAATCGATGAATGTCAATTGGTAATTTGAATACTCTTACGACAGTAAATGATTCAATTTATATAATCATATGTACAAAAAGCTACCAGTAACATTTTATAAATATCACGTCTTTCCACAAAATGACACAAACACACGAATTACATATCACTTTTCACGTCGATACTTATTTGCCAGTGTATTATTATACTCGGCCAAAATGCACCGAACAAAATGTACCCATAATGCCAATGGTTTTAAAGTTTTCATATAATTGTTATCTTTTACATGAATGATTTTAAGTATTTTTCCATCATTATTTCTGACTTTAGTAAAAGTGATACATGCGTCAGAAACACGTTATTCTTTGGTGACACCGATCACATATTTAGAGGTAAGTGTTTGTTGTCAATGACAGTATGGATCGTATGTGTTTGAAATCGAATTACTTTTGCGAATTAAAATCACTTCTCTCATCTACTTGTTTTTGTTAGGTTTGCATCTACGAGAAACTACATATTAAAATAGTATGCATACATTATTATATTTGATAGTATATTATTGTGTATTTGGAATTTATTTCAGATTCGGAACATAATGGCGGTACTGTCATTAACTGATAATTTGAAATAAATCACATGCAGTGTAGCAACGACATCGGTTTACTACGGCAACCGGGGACCAAGACTTCTTTTTTTCATTATTGTCCTTTTATCAATGTTTTAATTGATATCACATGACGAAAGGTTGTCTTACCGGACATCAAGCTGCTGAAATTTAGCAAAGTTACACAGAGTACAGGTTGCAGGTCAGGTTACAGTTTGCAGATTATTAAATGTTTATATTAGAATCATAACCTAGTACTAGCAGTATACTAGTAATTTATTTAATCATGGAAGTTTTATATAGTTTACTATATAGCGAAAAATCGTCCACGGTACGTACAAAGTGACACGCCAACGTCGTCAGTTAACAAACAACGTGTTCTTGAAGATTGGCCACGGTGCAGTGTTTCAGCGCAGCAGTGACTCAACGAGAATAGATTTTTGATTAAAAATATTCTGTACCTAAATATTTTCGAGTTATAATTTTTTATTATCAACTGTCTGCCTTTTTCGAAACTGAAACATAATGCAAATTATTCCGTCTGAGCGGGACTATTAAATGACATATATAGATGTTTAATTTTTTTTAAAAGGTTCCTCTCATTAGTAAATAGCGCCCTCACTCAACAATAATTATTAGAATGAGTGGTTGGTCAAAAGTTTGATGAGTCAGGTGCATCTATTGGGTAATGAGTATAGGAACCATTAATGATGTAGGGTGTATTGGGAGGGGTGGAGGATTTCATGTTTGTAATGACTGGTTGCAATGTGCTCTCTCATAGTTTTCAGGATGTAGCTTGATATTAGTTGCTTACTTGGTTGTTCAATTATTTGTGGTGGGTGGAAGATGTGTTTATTGGTTGTTGAGTCATTGTTTAGACACCCTGTAGCTTGAAATGGTATGGTACAAATCAAGATATGGCGGTGTCTTCAAAACGATTTCTGTTTATTTATTACTGTTGTAGATCCTGAAAACTAGCCACTGAATATGATGTCGGGAATAAATGGTATTCTGAACAAGAAATATAGTGTGTATTTTTGTATGTGGAAACTTGGCTGGCCTCACAAAAATACAAAGATGTGAGGTCTGCAGTTCTTTTTTATTTTAATTTTTTATTTGTGAAAAAAAAAGGTATTTTACAAACTGCAAACAATAAAACACTCACAGTGTAAGGCTAGGTCACCAGCATGTCTCTTCTCTTGCTTGAGTGTGAAAGTACATGGTTTAGAGCTATACTTAGTTTGTAGGTCTATTATGTGAAATCAGACCTTCGCTTATTATGCTGTATTAGTACACTGGAATATAAATACAAGATACTAGTATATTTATGCCACACATGCGTATATTGTTTAAAACCAACTACGCATGCACTCGCGCCTACGCTAATCTAGGGAGTTTGAAACATAATTATAACAAAAATGTGAACATAATGATTGAATAATTATAAAAGCTAACAAAATGAAAAAATAATGTGAACATAATAGTGTAATAGTAAAATGCTAAATGAAATGTTTTTGGCACTGATCTCACCCCATACATTAGAACACATTATTTTAAAATTTCTAATTGGTTATCGTTTAGGTTAAATAACAGTCCCTCCATATCACCGTTCCAGAAATGCTCTGTGGTCTAATGCTTTGTGGTACCAACACTCGTAATGGATAAACACACGGGGGGGGGGTGTCCCATGACACTTCTTCTAATCATACCGTATATGACGTAACATACAACAAATAGCTATTATTGTGATAATATACATTAGAGTATACACATATATATTTGGGTCGCGATTCTACGGATGACTGGATTTTAATTAACAAAAGTTAATATATTAATTGTAATTGAACCTTTGGAGCTGTAAAATGGTGTATTATCCAGTGAATTGTCGCAGATCTTTACCGGAAACGTGCGACTACCATACTAGCAATGCATTAATATATACACGCATGCGTTTGTCAGAATTAATTCAAACGTAGAATACGTAGACATATGTCCTGTTTTGTTTTGATTAAAACAACTACATTTAATTAACCTCTGCTAGTAACATCCATACAGCGCTTATTTTAAATAATGAAATTCTGGAATTGATGCTAGATTTAAAATATATTAAAACTCTAGAAATGTATCAGGCAAATGATTCACCAATGTAATGTTCCGTGGACAGGACATTTTGCAGATTATGCACTGCCAGGAGTTTACCACAAATACAATTTAACAAGAAAACAAACAGCTGGCCAACGACTATATGTTACATTAATTAATGTGTTTAATCTATGTATATATTATGCGATGTTTGAAAAGTGAAACGCAAATTAAAAACATTCGACAATTATTACAGAGTACATTAACAACCTTCGACAATTATTACAGTAAAGGAAAATAAGAAGACAAAAAAACATACCAAACAACACAGGATAACATTAATATACTGAGCCATGTCGTCACGACAGGGCGGTGTACGTGCATCCAACGCAAAATTAATTAAAATGTAATTACATTTCTTCGAAAACGTATGTCCAGTTTCGTTGGACACGAACCTATCTTTCCGGCCGCGTTTGTTTGGTTGTTTCTAATACACGTGTACAAATAGATAAATGCCACGACTGCGTAAACAGAAATAAAGTCCAGTGTCCGAGTATTGAGGGGATCAGTGAGACAAGACCAAGACCGGAATACCCAACTGAAGGTGAGTTAGTTGAGATTTTTACACTATATTTTTTGATTTTCAACAAATGTCGCACACACACACAAGTTTGACTGTTTTTGACACCGTGTTTACGTTACGTAGCACTACAATAATTGTTTGGTTATTTATTACAAATTATCGAGTACGAACATCACATGCCGCTGCTCAAATCGTGTTACGTGTCTCCAACGAAAAACATGACTAATACGCTAACCACAATAGATTGCGTTAAAAGTTCTAAATTTAGTAAACTCTGCTATCAACTCTTCATCAACTTCCATCTGTGTGGTGATATGCGATGTACACATTGTATTATATAAATCGAAGACTCAAATTTAATTAACACTGTGGACCATAGAAATGGCACTGAAAATTGGAAGCAGAAGTTAATTTGGTGAATTCATACGAACGAAGAGAAGACTGCTACTAAGATTGTGTATAATCTACCACCCCATCCTGTACTATGTCACGAAGTTTCACCACTAACAATTACACGCGAATGTAGGCTCCTATTTGAAAACATTGTACACGTACTGAGACATGGCGATGTGTATTTTTAAACTCGTAGCATGATTTCGTTTTTATTGTAATACATTCTTTGACATATTAGCTTCGATGACGAGCTGAGAAAACGTCCAGGAAAATTAACATATTTGTAATTAACTCAGTTTCCATCAATTACTGATTCTGAAAAATTGTTCAGGGAAGCAAACGGCGGATATGTTTTGCAAAAACATTCTTTGCTTAAGGGGTTCGCGGTGAGGAATATCGGAAGTAAGAATGAAACAAGTTATTTCTTCAGTTGTGTCCGTTATTCTACTGCTTAAAGGGCGATACTCATACTTATGATTTCCATTTGAAGAGCGCATTAGATTGCGGGGTAATCCATGTTTATCAACATAAATGTCGCACATGCGCGGCGCGACGACTACCGCCCTTTAACATTAATATTTAGATACCACAATTATCCGATTGTGATGTGTACAATCTGGTTCTGTGTTATGTTAATCTTTTCAAAGCCAGATAAATAATTATAGTTTATTGTATTATTATATTTATTGTACAAAACACGGAAATAGAACTCTTAAAATTTCGCAACATAGTATCTCGAAATCTTAATCGGTAACGTATGGTGAAACAATCGTATATAGTTTAAAGATGAATTTGCTTAACATGGACAGACAGGCAAAGTGGCTCTGAATAGAAAACGTTATTTACGTGACTGTCCGAATTAATAATTATATAACATTTAAAAAAATGTCCTCCCGATTTACACCACGTAGAATTCACGGAGAGTGATCGTCACTCATTTGCGCAAACTTTCAACAATTTTACATTACTTTCATTTACTCCAACAAAGTTTAATTACAAAGACAGTATTTTGTTCACATGCTTTTCAATACACATATTTTGTTGAATGACAACGTTATACTAGATGAACAATGGTATATCCATCACCAGACGTCAGTGTCAATTTATGTTATTTCAATGTTAATTTTGAGACAGCTCATTAATATTTTAATTGATGAATATGTTGATTTTTTTCCATTCTTTTCAACCCATATGTTAATTTTTGAGATAATTACGGTGATCGACCATGTGGCCGATGGTGAAGTTCTATCAGTCATTAACAAAAAACATGCAAACAAATACGACTATTGTCTATTGGATGAAGTCATTCCAATTACAGGGTTTCTGCTATCAAGATTAACGCAATTCATTGTACAATGTTGATAAGACTTTTTGCTTCTAATGTTTCATTTCAGATCTACACACGGTATACAACAATGAAGTTACTAGTAGTTCTGTTGTGTAGTTTGGTAGTACTACACTACGTGTCGTCCACTACTTTGGAAAAAAAGGCAAGTTGAATGTAATGTGAATCAGTTTTATACAAATCCGACATGTTCTATATAAACATAATGCACGTGGCATGGTTTAATAGCGACGGTGAATGAATATCAGTTACGAATAGCGGAAAGACCTCATTGTCCACTAACATAATAAGTGGAGTAAACTACGATTTTCTAAAGGAAATGCCCTGATAAGAAACTCAATAAACGACTGACAAACAAAATACATCACCAAATCACAGGCAGAGGGCATGCATATCAAAGCCTTCGTCGGTGATTTAATGGCAGGTGTTTCGGAAACATCCTGGTGAACATGTGGTCAACTAATGATTCTACATGCTTGTTCGTACATTCAATATGTACACAGTTATTATGTTTTTATGTAGAACTGATCATGTATTTTTTTATTTTGTATATTCATTATTGTGTTTGCGTTCTTATTTTTTATTATATTATTGAAGTTTATTGAGCGTCATCGATAATTCATTATGTGTTATAAAACACTTGCTAGCCAAGTTCTTATATTATCAAAAAACACCGAAATAATGTACGGACTATATCTCATGAGTGACCCTCGTTTATTAGATTTTAAGTCTTGTAACAATTTCAATGTTTTACTCGCCTAAAATGTTATATTGTTTTGAAACGATAAAACTAATATGTAAATCGTAATTTGTGGACTATAGGCTTAAACAATGTTTAGCTCTGTTGAATATATGCTGATTATTTTATTTTGATAAATACGTTTATAAGCCCTTGTTAGCATAGCACTGTGTGGGTAGACCTACTCTGTAAAGGAACCATTGCTGCCTTATGTCTACCAACTACTGACTATGGCAGTCGCTATAAAAAAATGATAAAATCGATTGGTTTGGCATCTAATCCTGAAACATTGGAGCTTTGAAGCTAGCCCGCTCTGAACTGTAGGCCTCTTTATTTTATTTTTGGAGAGTCTTCTGTATTGTAGGATACGATTTCTCATAAACTGTACAGAATTCAAATCTCTCGTTATATGATACTTGAGAAAATTTCTGCAGATCATGCAAAGTGGGAATGTAACTCTCATATTTGAAACTATCACCCTCAGCAAAATTACGTGTTTCTACATTTCTCAAACAAATCTCCAAATACATGCGCAAACAGGAGTTGAAAGCGCAATTCAGCCATGATTTCCAAAGTCAAATATGCTTGCATGAACTAATGTGAATAATGTCACATAGTATGGCGACCAGGAACTGCCATAATATATGGAATTAATATAAATACACAAGCGAAAAAAAACATGTGAAAACCACATACAGCCATGTTTTATATAGTTTGGGTAACTTTGCTGAATAATATTTTCTGATGCTATTATTAAAAAAAAGATTTAAAATGATTCAAAATTTCATCTACAGTAATGAAGTTTGCAAACATACAACATATGTAATGTAAAATTTTAGTTCTACAATTCTAAAATGTAATGTTTACCATTATCAGCATCAAAAGGCCTTTCATACAGTTAACAACAATGCAGTCGAAGAGGCAGTGCGTAACGAACAATTCCTACAAGGAACGTTTTTTTCTTATAACGGCAACACCGAATACTATATTTCACAGCCTCTATAACACACAATTCACACGAATTAAAGGAATAATTGTCTTCAAGATATCATTTTTATCGTCAAATAATGCAACCCTGCAATATAATTAGGGAGACATTTATATTGTTTTTTTCATAGTACCTTAATCTATCTCTTATTTCTTTAATACATTCATATGATCGTTGATTTGGTTATTTCGAATTTCATCGAGATGCTCAATTGTTAGTTCTTGAGATACTAGTAATAGTATTCGCACTTACTGAAGTCTTACAGGGTTATCCCTAATAATTTGAGCTGAAGTAGAACATCATTTTATTTTCTATTAAAAATATGCAACCACTGGGCAGCAAACGTTCTTAATTGTATCATTTTGTAAATTTAATTATTTGAATATAATTCGTTAAATCATTCTTCCATTGTACAATAGAAACGAACGTTTGGTGCGGAAGGTGATACCTCAAGTGACTCCAGTAGCAGTGGTAGTAAGTCAGAAGAAACAAAAAGCAGTGGTCACTCAAGTGGTTCAAGTGTTAAGTCAAGTAGCTCGGAAAGCAGTAGTTCTAATAGTACTGGCTCTAGTAGCAGTCGTAGTTCAAGTGGCTCTAGTAGCTCTCCAAGTGATAGTTCAAAGAGCTCCAGTGGAAGTTCTAAGTCAAGTAGCTCGGAAAGCAGTGGTTCTAATAGTACTGGCTCCAGTAACAGTCGTAGTTCAAGTGGCTCTAGTGGCTCTCCAAGTGATAGTTCAAAGAGCTCCAGTAGAAGTTCTAAGTCAAGTAGCTCGGAAAGCAGTGGTTCTAATAGTACTGGCTCCAGTGGCAGTCGTAGTTCAAGTGGCTCTAGTAGCTCTCCAAGTGATAGTTCAAAGAGCTCCAGTGAAAGTTCTAAGTCAAGTAGCTCGGAAAGCAGTGGTTCTAATAGTACTGGCTCCAGTGGCAGTCGTAGTTCAAGTGGCTCTAGTAGCTCTCCAAGTGATAGTTCAAAGAGCTCCAGTGGAAGTTCTAAGTCTAGTAGCTCGGAAAGCAGTGGTTCTAATAGTACTGGCTCCAGTGGCAGTCGTAGTTCAAGTGGCTCCAGTAGCAGTGGTGGGTCAAGTGGATCAAGCAGTAGTGGTAGTTCTTCAAGTAGCTCTGGTAGCTCTTCAAGTGATAGTTCATCTGAAGAACCCACAAACCCTCCTCCAATTGATGGATGTGAAGGTAATTATACGTTACAAACTACTTCTAACAGAACAAGCAAATGAGACCCAACTTCTAAATTGAATGCAATTTATACCTGTATATTTCAGTTAAATAACATACATCATTCAACTAATGTGGTAAATAACAAATACAAATTAAGAAACCAAAAATATCTCTACATACAATGAATATTAAAGCAATCTGATCAACCACTTAGTTGTCATAGTTGACAACAGCATCATTCACGATGATGGAACAACTCAAAGCATGGAATTAACATGTCCACAACAATATGCAATGAACATTGAATAGTATAGCTAACAGAAGTCTCTCAACACAATCGAAATATTCACTTCCTATAAGTCACGCCCTCTATCCATGACGCTACGGTAACGTAAAAATAACGAGGATTAGAAAAAATGCCATTTAAACTATTCTGATTGCTTATGTTGTCTTTCATTAATTAAATAAAACCTAGAAAACAGTATTTTGAATTGACAATATTTGGTCGTGAGAACGACTAATCAAAAGCTTAAGTGAAATGTGCAAGTGCACCTAACATAATTGACCAATTAGATGATATCGTAACACAGTATATTCATTATTTTCGGCAGCAGTGAAGTGTGGTTTAGCCGTTCTTACCATGTTTACCACGATTCTCTTGTATTTTACAGTACATGGTCCAGTATGTTCTTGTATAGAGTATAAAATATTTCTGCAAAAGAAGTGCTGGTGGGAAGCAGCAGCTGCATGCCAAGCTGATGGAGGAATGCTTGCAACTGTGGACACTCCCATTGCATTCTTTCACATTTCGGTAACAATCACAGATGGCGATGCCGTAGAAATGATTGACGATGGTTTATGGATTGGGTTGAATGACATAATGATGGAAGGGACATATTCTTGGATTGATGGCAGTGTTGTTACCCCAGGGGATTGTTATGAAAACTGGTACGGTGCACAAGGAAATAACATGAATGACTGTATATCTGTCAGGTAGGCTAATCTATTATGATATTCAAAATGGGACCTATGCGATGAACGGGTAATATACCAAGAGACTACAATGCTTGCTGTGTGTTGTTATTGGTCAGCACTCTTGAACTAGAGGTTTTGGTTATAAACAATTACCTAAAATGCCATACACTTGTTAATTTTACCTGAAAAACCTTTATCCACTTTTGTTTTGCAAAAACACTTGACACTTCGGGTCGATTGTATTCTGAAGGCATAACAAACCTATGCTTGTGAGACAAAACTAGTTTTCCACTAAAGAAGGAAGTTAACATATTAAGTATCCCTTAATAACTCAATGGTGAAGAATACTTTTATGTAGATTAGTCAAATGTTATATCGTATTGTTATATAAACCGATTGACAGTGTTATAGTATTAATCTAATTACCTGCAAGTAAAATATTAAGGTTTTGTGGAAATTTTAAAAAATATGTACTTTTATATTAACTGATGCATATCATTATATATTCAAGGGAAGACACGTACTATAAATGGCAGGAGGATAACTGCATGGATGAAAAAGGATACATATGCATGTACTTCAGTAAGTAAACATGACTAAATTTTAAAATGAAGGCAAAATTAATTATGCAATTGGCATTCCCATCTGTCATCAATAAGTGTTTGAGTGATTCATGTGAATGAATTCAGAATGCATTGGCATTTTTAAAAGGTATTTACAATTATCAAAAGGTCACAATCAACTAGATGATTTACATAATATAACTGTTTCTTTGATCATGGTAAATTGGAACATTGGACGTGATGGCACAGTAGTGGTTAAAATACTATTAAGTTTGAAAGTTAGGTGTTTCGCTCGCAACAAAATCCCTGCAGTCATTGGCAAATAATGGACAGATGATATATTAATGTTTCAAAGAAAGTAAAAGATTCTTCAAATTTCGGTCAATATGGTGTTTTGTCGTAGACGTAGTATAGAACGCGTTTATGACACCAAACAACTTGTACATTATTTCTAGATGTTCAATGAGCTCATGTTTAGTCAGTTTTATCATTCAAGGACTGTTACATCAATATAAAAATACTAAATTTCTCTCTCTCTAATTTCCAGACTGTGATGACCAGGATGACTGTCAATCCTGTGCTGAGGTACCTGATTACATGATTCCAATGCCCGGCGGTGGAGATTAAATTAGAGGCACAAAAACCTTACTCATGAATGTTATTCGCTTGTCTACGACTTTGACAAGTTCCGACTTATTATAATGCACACAAGACAACATGAACATAGGCATATTTTATTGCACATGCACCTATACGTGGTATAATAAAAAGGCAATTGAAAAGCACTTAAAAGAAGCAGCTTTCATTTATTAATTTTCAACACTTCTTTCATACAGTGATAGTGATATGATGTCACACGCAACGTAATATTACCGTAATTGGTATAGTACAGGTGTGATGGTTCAAATACCAAAATGGCAACAGTAATAAAAAGACTTCCCTGGCGGCGATGATAAAATACGAACACGGAGCCAACAGATGAGGTTTCAACTGGTACTGGTATTATTATACTCTGCAAACATCAAGTACAATAACGCGGTAAAACTCCAAACCTCCAATAACTAGATACTTAAACTCCAATACAACGAGATCTCCGATCTGAACTCAGTGCTGAACAACTCCCCTATATATACCCACACTGTCTATAAAGAGACCATTACATCAGCATACATAATGAGTCTGGAATTTACGACAAATTTCTAGAATGTTCCATTACCTTCTACAGTGTCCTATTACCTATTTAACCAGCTTCTAAAAATTCCACCCAGACACAGCACAGTTCTAGAACATTCTCAGTCACATGGAAGTGGTAAACAAGTCGTATGCGACATATGGAAATGAGTTTTTGTGCGGCTACTCCTTATATGAAAGCTGAGTTTATATTCAATGCAAATCTGACAATCATTGAAATGCAAAAACCCACCCCCCAAAAAACATACATCAATGTGCACCAACATTGAACAGAATCTATCATTACATTCAAAGAAATATGACTAGCACCCAAATGCATCATCATGATCAATAAAATCTCCCCTTTTCATATCTGAAGAATGGTTCAGGGCACAGAATTCAGCCAATTAGATCTGATGGTAAAGAAAATCCAGGTGCATATGTATGTCACCATACATGATCTTTGTGTTAAGTTAGAAAGTGATCGATCAGAGCATGTGAGAGAAATAGCTCCAGACAGATGAACACACGCACAGAAAGTCTTTGTTCAAAAGAGGGATTAATATACTTCCTTATCTTATATATGTCTTGCTTTGAGTGGTGGGATAATTCTGAAAATATATCATCTCAATACTTACATTAATCAAGAAATAATTACAATAAGACAACACAATGAAAAAAAAGCTTATCTTGCCATGCACTACTGTGTACAGTGTATATACATACAGTGAATGAAAAATTTGATTTTTGATCAGAACTGTACAAAATCATCCAATCTCTGGCAATAAGATGTATTGTATGGTGCTTTCCTTATCTTTTCTGGCATGCTGCTAAAACAGCTGTACCTACAAATGAAATGCGTACAGCAACTGCAATACTAAATGCTTTATGTCTAGTGTATTAGACGACTTGTTGTGCACAGCACAGCACAGCACAGCACAGCATTCACGTCCAGAATGGGACATGATTAAAACGCATAGGGTTAAATCATGGAGGTAAAAAGAAAGATTAAATAGACTCGCATTTAATTAACTACACTCGCACAGGTATCCAAATGGGGAGTAAATCTACACTACTCAATGTAAACTGCAACTCTCCACCAAAGGTACATTACTACATGTCAAAAACAAACAAAATTATTTATAACAATCATGGACTAGTGCAGTCTGGGCATCACTTAAGGATTCACCTGAGACATGAATGTATCTAATATAACGACCAAGTTGTTTTATCAGGAATTGAAAAATTCTTGATCGTTGACTGCCCATGCTGGTTCGATGATGCTCTCTTCCGGGTAGACGATGTGTTTGACAACATGTTGAATAAACATAAAGGGCATAGAGCCATAGAAAACCAGGGGTCAGAATGGATGATGACGTCATACACATATGATTGTAATTAACATATCCGGAAGTACGTTAAATTTTCAGCAAACATCTACAGATTTTCCCTGTGTTGCTTTGGAAAAAGACTGTCGTAGCTTTGAATGCGTGAATTCGTTTAATACGCTACGATTCCGTGTATACAGAATATATTTTTCGAATTTTTTTTATTATCTAAATTTGTTGTTTCATAATGAAAAATAACCGGTATTTTTCACCAGAGTAGGTGGTCGTTTTGACAGGCCTATATCTACATCACTGCAACTAAGTGACCTCTTTGCATATACACTCAACACAGCAACATCTCTATCAGGTGATTGTATGACAACTCTTGAGTACGTGTTGGAAGCATGTGCTGCATGAAAGACAAGGCGTGTGTCAGCCTCCTCATAGTCAGATCTTAGAACATCATTGGGCTGTACTAGATTAAATGAAATGGCCACATCATCCATTCCATTTATAAATCCACCAGCGAGAATGACAGTTTTACCTGCAGTCAACATTTCTAGATCTATATGACACCATCTTTCACATAAATATGCACTTAGATTAGTTTTGGTGACAGGATTGTTGATATACTTGCTCCACTATCTAGGTACAGATGTGTTAGCACCAGAATATTTACTGCTGATTTGGTCATTTGCACCGTAGCCAGTCTAGCCGTGGTTTACCCAAAACGCTGCGAAACCACGGCTATAGCCAGTCAAGTTCTGCCAACAAAATGCTCTTATTATTCTTTCTTAGAGTTCCATCCGAATGTGCCAGTGCAAAAGAAACTGCAGATAGTTCATATGGCAGTACGTTTTTCAGATCAACATCCCGGGTTGTTGCTGCAATTATCAGTCTTCCAAACAATTCTGTCAGCAATCACATTCTTAACTTTCTCATCTTTTGTCTTTACTGCTTTCTTTTGTACTAGATTTGCAAATGTTATTAATTTCAAATGTGGTATGGAATCCCAGAAGCTTTTCATTCTTGAATGAACTTATTCATATGTTCTTTATCAATTTCCTCAGCATACACCATATTAGGTCTCATTTCTGTTAGTACCACAACTCCTGCAACTGTGAATGGATTTATTATCAACTCTGATGTGAAATACTGTCAGAAGCTTCTGCACATCACTTTCATTTCTCGTCAGACGCTGTTTTATTAATTCCTTGCGCACACTAATAAATTCATTCATCTGCAGACTACACACGTCTTTTGTTGCAGTTGTTATCCCACCACGTTTCTTGGAATCCAGGTTGACAGACTGTTCTAGGGCCATATCTGTCCAAACCTGACTGTAATGTGTATTCGAGCGACTAACAGGGTGATTTCCCTCTTCATATACCTGGGGGCTAGTGTATTGCAGTTGATTCATATCAGAAAGATACATGGGTAACCATGTTGAGTATTTGGTTCTATCCATGCATTAAAAAAGGCACCATTCCAGCAGACAAATGTAGCTTCCAGTCTCTAGTTCTCTCGGTCAGTCAATATAAGAGTTCTGGCGTGAAATTGTGTTGAATGTCACGTAGATCTCTGTACAATTCTTCAAATTCCTCAACTATTTCACCTTTCTTTACAGCTTGATCTCTGAATATTTCAATCTATCTGTTTAAACTTTCATCATATGTATCTGGTGTTCAGGTGATTTCCAGCACTAGTTTATAAGCTCTAACACCACGATTGTAGGAATTACCATTTAGTAGAGAAGATGCTGTGTTAGCGCCATATGTGTTAGATTATATGAGAAGATCTTCTAGACCTGTGTTTGCAAAGCGCTTCCCTATAAACAGCCAAGTAGTTGAGAGCTATATGGAAACCACCCTTTCTGATCACAGTCTCATTAAACTGTTCTCCATGTCTCCACTGCAGTTTCTTTTCTTTTACATAAATCGCCAAGTCGAATGTGATTCTGCCTGTCCCAGCACCTTCGTGAACTTGCTTCATGACTGTATACACAACGCTAAATTCAGTTGGAGAACCTGCAATCATAGGGCATAGTAACCAATCTCTGTGGTTGGTGGTTTATTACATTGAAGTACATTGAAGTGCATTAAAGGAACTCCAGCTGGATACTACTTGTCTCTCTGGATTAGACATATGGTTGATATCCACTTAAAACAACTTAGTAGGGTATATGCGGAGAATTGCGCATACCAGATCCATTGATAATTGACTTTTTTCCAGGTCTTTGTTACGTTGGTGCCATTCAACATTGATGCTGTTGAAGAGGTATGTGACAGTTGGTCTCTTACCAAATAATCCACACTCCAGAATATTATGAACATAGTCTGTTTCAATTAATGCTTTTCTCCTGACAGTATGGTCTGCATGTACAACTCTGAATGGCTTTAAACCAAACTGTCCCCTTTGGTACACAACCAATGTAGTAGAGTGAGTGGTTTGCTTGCCATCTAAAGTTTCTTCAATGATACCATCTGCAGCCATTTGGACAAATGCACTAGGAACAATATTGGTAGAAATAACAACACCTGTATTCTCTGCGTGGGCTAAGCTTGTGTCAACCACCTCAATATCAACATAAGACGCACAATGTCCCAAACGGTTCAAGATAATAATAGCTTGTTTGACACAGTCAGGTGCCTCACAGTCATGGCTAAACTGTTATGTTTATGCATTTTCTTCCTTCCATGTGTTGCACAGTGTACAATATCTTGGCTAATCATGGTGATATGTCGCTCATCTGCTTCATTTTGACAACATCAACTATGATTACCAAACTCACTGGTCTCTACATCCTTCTTTGTAGTCAGCCATCTCAAAACCCAGTAAAGGCTTATTATTTCTTTAGCTTTTTCATTCAAGAGGTCCTCATTGTCAGCTGGATTGGTATTAATTCCATTGCAATCTGTCAAATCACCCTTGATAATTAGTGCAGCATGATAAAGTAACTGCATTGGGCTTTCTGCATTCCCAGATGTGGTTCTTTCACAGTTGGACATATCCGTGGACATACTTAAGCAAGTAGTAGCTGCGGCATTAATTACATCCTGCAGTGACATATCACTTGAGTAAACTAGTTGTGGCTTGTTACGGTTTGCTAATAAACACACACACACACACACCAATGTTTGGTGAGCTGTAAGTAGCGCAGTGTCATCTGCACAAATATACCAATCAAAAACGACCTGGAGCCCTGTGAACATACTCAATTTGAACACCCATAATATAACTTTGCTGCCAGCTTTTTACATTTTAACAGGGCTAAAAATTGACCCTAAAATGACCCTCTAGCTGAAAATATTTTCAAGCATTTTAAGCACTAGGGATGCTACAAAATCAAATTTCTAGGCTACTTGTGGAAATTGGCTCCTCGACTATATATGGATAATACTATATAGCTTATATGAATAATACTACATAGTCTATATAGATAATACATGTACTATAAAGCCTACATGGATAATACTATAAAGCTTATATGAATAATACTACATAGTCTATATGGATAATACTATATAGCCTATATGGATGATACTATAAAGCCTATATGGATAATACTACATAGTCTATATGGATAATACTATAAAGCCTATATGGATAATACTATATAGCCTATATGGATGATACTATAAAGCCTATATGGATAATACTACATAGTCTATATGGATAATACTATAAAGCCTATATGGATAATACTATAAAGCCTATATGGATAATACTACATAGTCTATATGGATAATACTATAAAGCCTATATGGACAATACTATAAAGCCTATATGGACAATACTACATAGTCTATATGGATGATACTACATAGTCTATATGGATAATACTATATAGTCTATATGGATAATACTGTATAGCCTATATGGATGATACTATAAAGCCTATATGGATAATACTACATAGCCTATATGGATAATACTGTGTAGCCTATATGGATGATACTATAAAGCCTATATGGATAATACTATATAGCCTATATGGATAATACTATATAGTCTATATGGATAATACTATATAGCCTATATTGATAATACTATATAGCCTATATGGATAATACTCTATAGCCTATATGGATAATACTGTATAGCTTATATGGATAATACTATCTAGCCTATATGGATAATACTGTATAGCCTATATGGATAATACTATACAGCCTAAATGGATAATATTATAAAGCCTATATGGATAATACTATCTAGCCTAAATGGATAATACTATAAAGCCTATATGGATAATACTATATAACCTATATAGATAATAGAATACAGCCTATATGGATAATACTATATAGCCCATATGGATAATGTTATACAGCCTAAATGGACGATACTATATAGCTTATATGGATGATACTGTATAGCCTATATGGATAATACTATATATCTTATATGGATAATACTGTATAGCCTATATGGATAATACTATACAGCCTATATGGATAATATTATAAAACCTATATGGATAATACTATATAGCTTATATGGATAATACTATAAAGCCTATATGGCTAATACTATATAGCCTACATGAATAATACTGTATAGCCTACATGGATAATACTGTATAGCCTATATGGATAATAATGTATAGCCTATATGGATAATACTGTATAGCCTATATGGATAATACTATAAAGCCTATATGGCTAATACTATATAGCCTATATGAATAATACTGTATAGCCTACATGGATAATACTGTATAGCTATATGGATAATAATGTATAGCCTATATGGATAATACTGTATAGTCTATATGAATAATACTATATAGCCTATATGGATAATACTGTATAGCTACATGGATAATACTGTATAGCCTATATGGATAATACTATATAGCCTATATGGATAATACTGTATAGCCTATATGGATAGTACTATATAACCTATATGGATAATACTGTATAGCTATATGGATAATACTATATAGCTTATATGGATAATACTATATAGCCTATGACATTCTCATACTGTCTCTATGAACAAGTGTAATCTTATATGAATTCCTGATTGTGTTAGAATACATTTAAAACTTAATTCTCATCCAATATCCTATTTTTATTGCTTAAAAAAATAAATTGAAGACATTATGAACTAGTTGTGGCAGATATTTATACCCACTCACAGTCAGTTGGTGTACATGTGATAATAACATAAATGCGACCAATTTACTGGTATTTACTATATGGGGCAGCCATCTTGAATACAACTTGAAATTAAATGAAGAGTCAAATTTAGAAATGGGTTTTTCAGTCTCCTACAAATCCGAAAAAAAATAAGAATCAGTTTGGGAAAGATTAAGCTAACCAAATTCAGTCGAATTTGTTGTTTTTGTGTGGAAAAATCTCATGCATATAAACAACTAATTACACAAAGAACATAGAGCACAAACACAAAGCAGTCATTTATTAACTATGAGGTCGTCGCTGATTGGCCTCTGAGTTGAATGATGATTCCGGTTTCAAGAAAGTGTTTCTCAACTTGTCTCTTTATTTAATTTCAAGCCTAAATATTGGTAAATTGATCGCATTTATTTTGTTATCACTTGTACACTAACTGACTGTGATTCCACTATACACACCGAAATACATGCATTTGGTTGAATGACCCTCAATTAATAAATGAAATGGATAAACAAAGATGAAAATGGTCATCTTGAATTATGTGCAACCAACTGCATTAAATCAAGTATTGCATCTGATATAAGTTCAGGGTATGAGTTCTGAATCCAATGCCCACCCTTTTCAAAGATTATACCACGTCTGGGCTTTTTTCGATGGTCTGTAAAAGATTCAGAAAATGTGAATTTTACTAGTTATGTTTAAAGTGAATAATAATTACATTATGGTATTATTGTCACTACTATTCAATTTTCCTGACACATTTGGGTAAGAAAAATGGACTACAACAATTAAATATTATATGCCATGTGAATTTCGGGGCCAAACATTTGAAATCATGGGGGGGGGG